TTTGAGAAGCAAAACACTAATCGGTTAAACATTTTCATGGATGAAAACATAACAGTTCACATTTCCTGTCAAGAAACTGAATCTAGTAGTCTGTATAACAGAGCGTGCGGGTCACGCGTATTGTCTAGTGACGTAGGCACCACCTTAACACTGTCCCTTAACACTGTTCAGCCAAAAGCGTGACAGGTACACTTTCCCATTTGTGCTTATTTGTATTGCTTATCGCCAATCACGTTCAAGAAATTTCTGATATTTCTGACGAAAACGTTAATTCAAGGCACTAGGTTACAACTATCGTCAAATTCAATGTCTGGACAGACTGATTTTAAGTGTCAGAATTTTAAGAAAATTACACTCATTAATCCTGCGGGGAATGAGTGTCCAGTGCAACAGCGCTGAAATGGGATACGTTGCTGTCGTTGCCATCTCAAGAGATAGTTGGTTACATTGGGAGATGTTAAACAAGCAGAAAATAATTACTTCGGGGAAATTCAGTAGATATAATTGCACAGTGCTGCGCTAATCTAATCATGAAAGAACATCATAACAGTTATTATTCTAGTAATTGTGGCAGTGACTTTCAGCTTCACACTGTTTTGCTGACATGCACAGGTACTTTATGTTGGCTCCCCTGTACTGATGGCACACCGAGTCTTGCAAATAAAAAACAGAGACAATGAGCAAAGCAGTTGCTGCTTTATCAACTTTACCTGCACCATCTTTTGTAGGCTAAGGTTCCTACTAGCGAATAGCAACTCAAAATAAGCCTCGTTAATGATGACGGTAATGATCAACTCATACAGAAGGTTAAGTCTCTACCGAGTCTTAAAGATGAAAGGTTCAAGCCCGTCAAATTTTTCTGCTCTTTAGAATTGGCTCTTTGTTTGTAATTTTCCTACCTTTGCTATAGTAGCATATGGCTTTCACCATAGTGCGCCTTCCAGTGCTCCACCCATCTGACCAAAAACATCTTTCTGGTTTGCTCTCTCAATCCTTTTGACTGGTATGCCATGGTGCGGCCATAGTTGACGTTTGTAATACGTACTCACCAGGAGTCACGCATTCGCTGGGTACTGAAAAGGTAAATTTTTAATTCATACAGTGCACTTCCGAATTAGGTCAAGATTTTCAAAGTACAGAAGTACAGTTAGCATCATTTCCCACATTTGTGCAAGGTCAGAACACTAAAGCACTTTTTAATACTGAGTATCGTAAAACCAAAAACTGGGGAAGTCGCAACCTCCAATCAGAAGCAAGGGAAGCATCACAAATAGCCAGTGGGAACTTAAAGTTAAACAAGCAAACTACCTGAAGCGCGGGAAATGAGTGACTAAGTCTTGATTGGTCTAAGTTTTGAATCTGATTGGTTAGGAAAGTGGCACGGGTTTTCAAAATCAATCACAAAACAAAGTGAAGGTAAAACTAATACAATCCTAGATAACTACTAACTCTGAATTGAAAAATGCCCTCAAAACCGTCAAGACAGCTTAGAGGCCATAAGGCCCATCCTACAGGAGCGCAAGGTAATGGGCCGTCAAAAAGTTTCCATTTTTTTTTTTTAACTGATGATGGAACTCCCTGAGCTACTATTGAGTTTGGTGAAACAAAAGTTTATCATACTCCCTTTTTTAACTGAATTTTACTTGTTCGAATTGATGCTACTGTACATGGGTCGCTTGTCACAATTTTAGTCAATAATGCTCTAGATCACTCTCAAGTTCTCTGTAGCTCGGCGTTAGAGCATGGGCGCATGTTTTACTTCCTGAAAGGAGTTTGTATCAATGCTTATGCTGATGATGAGTAAATTTATGCCTCGGATAAAGATCCAGTGAAGTTA